TAATCACTCGCTATCTTTTGTACTGTTCCAGACAGGGCTCGCTCGTTCGTTTCATGCCGCTAACGCCGCGCAATGCTATGCGAAATCTAAGATCATCGCAACTGGAGATCATGATCGTCGTTCACCCGTAACTTCGTTGCCTCGCGCTCGATCCTCAGTCCCCTCATCTAAAGCGTGATACTTCATCATGGTTCCCTCTGGGCTTTCGCCACCGCCTTCGTCTTCTTCACGATAAAGACGCCAACTTCCACACCCTTCGTGGGCTCACCGTTGTGGTAGTCCCGTTCCGAAACACCCTCGAGAACGGCCTGGATCAGTGTTGCAGCGCTCATCTCGGAGCTTGGGAGCTTTTTCGACTTGCTGAAGTACTTGGTGATTATCTCCCGTATCCGGGGTTTCTCTTGCTTGATCCACCAATCGTCCGCCCAAGCTGACCGTTGCATCAGAATCTCCTCTTTAGCGGCGTGGATGACTTCATAGTTTGCTCTTCTCTCGTTGTTGTGCCGTTCACCCATTGCTCCGCAGAACTTCCGGACTTGCGCCTCCAAGTGATTGTACTCGTCCAGGTAATTGACTGAGCTCATCTGACCCAGGTTCCTTCCTAGCTCCGAGTGGAGATCGTGGACTACCGTTACAGTGCGTAAGAGCGGGTCGAGAATTGGTCCGAGGTACTGCTGCGTAAAGGTCCTCGCACCTGTCCTGGTCGGATAGATGAATAGAAGGACGCCGTCATCGCTAGAAAGCTCGATTAGGCGATCGTACAGCAAAGATCTACCCCGAAACGTGAACATCTCAGCGAACTCATTAGTGTTAGTAGGCGGAATGTATCGCTCTACAATCGAAACATTGATGCTGCCCGGTGGCACGACGGGTCGAGGCGATGGGGGCAGGAGTTTCGAATCGAGTTGGTAGTCTGGTATAGCGACCGCGCTGTCAAAGACTTTGCTGGTAAAGTAAGAATCTCCTCCGACAGCAGGACCAGGCGTCGATGGAGGAGACTTTGGCAGATCCATGAGCGTGTAACGACCAGGAAGCGCGTGGAATACATTGATCCACGAGGTTTGCGTTGACGATCTGTCATGAATAGAAGCGATGACTTGGCCGAAGATGTGGCCTGATGTTGACGGACAAGGCAAGGCGTGGGACAGAATCTTGACTGAGTCCAACTCCAGACATCCAGATTCGTTTACTAAGCTCATTAGCGAACGGGACTATGCGTCATTCAGGTGCAGGGACTACTCACTGATGGTGCTTTTTGCCTCTTCTATCCACGCTGCCATCCTCAGCGCGTCGCTGAACTCGTCGTTGAACTCTTCGTGGGTTGGTACAATGATGGGCGCTTGACTGGGAGCTGTAGCGCTGGCAGTGATGTTCAGATTTGGTGACACCCCTGGCTCAGAATTTGGAGGCGAACCCAGCCCAACCGTGCGTGGGTTCACAAAGGATCCCCAACTGATCGTCCCCGGCTCCGTATCCGAGGGAGGCGTGTGAGTGGACACAAGATGTCCGACGCGGGCTCTAGCTTCCTTGGGACTGGTAACGGGGGTATGACTGGCCCCGTTGGCGTGGCTGAAGAAGTCGAGTGGTGGGCTGAGCGCATGGAGAGGGTCTTCTGGCTTCGACAGAGGTCCAGCGCCTAGTGGAGAGAAGGAGTGGTGTGTTTGCTGTGGGATACGATCAGGGTGGGGCGCAGCAATGCCTAGTACATCAAACGAGGGTAGACGCAGGTTGTGCGTACTCCTAAGGACCGTGGACGTGGGAAGCGAGAAGTTGCTTTGAGGAAGGTTGAGGGTCAGATCAAGCTGCGGCCGGTCCTCGATGGTAGGAGTCCTAAGAGGCTGGGGTAAGGCGGAAGCCAGCGGGAAAGGCTGCGGCAGAGAAGCGTCGAGAAACGAAGAGATATCGTTGGGAACCGCTATATCGGGGCAGGGACCCGCATCTATGCCTTCATCCGGAGTGGGTGGGATGGAGTTGGGCTGGAGCGCTTGGTGAGAGTCTTGGTGAAAGCGAGGAGGGGCATTATCAGCGTCAGCTCGCTGTAGAAGATGTGAAGAGGACTGGAAGCCCGTCATCATGACCAACGGGGTCTGAGATGTTTGCCGGTAACGCGCACGATCACGCTATGCTGGGTAAGTGGGATGAACAGACGCACGGAGACGTGGCTGAAAGATCTGGCGTCCAGGTACAAACGCGGTAGCGCCGCGGCGGCAGTAACGGCCGCGTGGGAAGTATTGACAGGTGGAAGGGGCTGGCGGTAAACGAGTGGATGGTCGCCTGGGGAAGACGGTCGCTGCGTCCAAGACATGAATGTAACAGCAGAGCGACCAGGCCAACGCGGTGCGAGGGCCAGGTGGGCTAGGTTGGGTTTGCGGAGTGAATACCCGATGTTCGCTGCGGTTGACGCTAGCGTGTTTTGGAGGCCCAGGGTCTCAGCAGCTGAAATCTAGACCTCGCGGCCACTGCAATTCACACCAGCGAAATGGCCTGACCGCACCCGCTGCTCCCTGCACACATGGCAGCCTAGCTCCATCACCAGCATGCCCATCCATCGCTCCTCACGCTGCCGTTGTTTGGTTGTTTGCAGCGCCGACTGTTCGGTGGGTCGATTCCCTGCTGCACGACAAGCCGGGCTAGTCCTGAAGCTGTTTGATACGAATTGAACGCACACCCATAGGGCTCCCGTGGGGAGCCAGCGTACACGAGTACGCAGTACGGCGCCGCACCCTGCCAATCGCCTCCTAGAACGCAGCCAGTCTCTGCACAGCTCATGGCCAAAACGCACGAGTTTTCAATTCGCTCCACAGTCACCTACCCTCGCCAACGTTTTGGTGCGAGCTTACAGCGCGTCTTTGGCATGGGTCTGACAAGCCTCCAAGCTATCTACCCGCAGTCACACAGTGCAGCCACACTCAGCTGCCGCGACACGCTTTGCCCTACAAGGCGAAGGGCCATGCGAGTCTAGGCTTCCCATCGAGATTTCTCTTTTGGCCAGCGGATTCTTGATTGTCAGCAATCGAAAACCGTGAAAACTTCTTTTTAGCTAGATGCAGCCTAAGTTAATGATCAGCGCCATGCTGCTTGTCACGGGACTTGCCGTTGGGCGCATTTTCGTCTCGCCACTACCGAGCTCAGGGTTTATTCCATAGTTTACAAACGTAAAACTTCGCTATCAATTCTGCGACCGATCCACTCATGCATGGATTGTCAGATGTCAGACTCTGCTTACAAGGTCCGTCCCACGATGCGACTTGCTCATTGTCTGCGACCAAGAACCAGCCGCAGAAACGTAAACACCATACCAAGCTTTTGTGCCTGCGGACTACGACAGCCCACCTTGAGCTTCGGGGTCCTGTTGCTTTGACTTGTCTTTAAGTACCTTCACCTTAGCTCCACGCTCGTCTAGCTTATTCCATCAAGACACTTCCTCGGTCAACCGCCGCGCCACCATCGCCTTTACGTACAATCAAGTATCAAACTATCGACATTAGCACCAACTTAACATATGAGTGAGACATGATACAACATACCTGCCACTTCTGCAGTCCCTTGTCCCTTGCTCCTGGCGCATTTGCGCTGGATCTTGATGCCATCTTCGGCTCATGCAGTTTCACGTACTCCTGCGCAAGCATAGGACATGCTTTCTTGTGCGCCTTGTAGTGCGCCTTCTGGCAGTCTTTGTTGCAGTACGTTACACTGTGGCACTTGATACACTGCTTGAGCGTGTCCGGAGACTTCCCGCATTGCGCGCACGCCTGAGGCGGTGCGGATGATGATGAGGATGAGGATGCAGACTCTGGCTGTGTGTTGGGTGTTTGTGACGATGAGGTTGATGACTCTGCCTGTGTGGTAGATCCAACGTTTGAGTTGTTTGCCGAGTCGGCCATCTTCGGAACCGAATGAGCGAGGATGTCTAAGTTGGAGTCGTGATAAATCCCAATTGCGGCTTCAATGTCGATGTGTTTCGCTGCTCTTCACCTCGACAGACGCCAAAAGTTGGACGTGATCGACATTTTGTCCGCAGGGATGCACTTGAAGCGACTGCGCTAACCCAATTCTGTGATAGCTTGAAAGGCTAGCAGGTGTCCCGAGGTCAGTCGCGAGCGCCATCTACACTGCCATAACATATCCGCCGTGCAAGGAAATTCTGATCAAGTCGCCATCAACCGCAACAATTTATCGCTCGGCTTTCTCGACATGTCAGATGCTTTTACTCGCGATAACGAAATCATTGCGAAGCTACGCGACTTTATCGAGCCACTAACCATCAGCTCGCCATGGTCCACTCATTGTTGTTGAGTGCCAACTCTCAAGAACTTTCGATTAATGCAACAAGAACGGTTGTGAGTCATTCAATGCAGAGAAACGTTTCTTTCCTCGTTCATGGCCGCCTTCGTCAATAGATGTCCACGTCTCATCGCTCCTGCCGTCTCAACAGTGTCAACACCAGCTGGACGAGAGAAAGAGAAGCCCAATAGGCTTTCACTCCTGAGTTGGTAGGCTCACAATGAGTTCGAGTTTTGGACAGTGTTGTCGACTTCGAGCCTGTGGGTGCTTAATTCGCGGTGAAGTATTATAAGAGTTGTACCAAGCACTGCAGTACCTCTTCTCCACACCAACACACCTCGACAACAACCTTCAGACAACTATACATAACTCGCACAGAACCTATCAGCGTTATCCAGATGTCCCACCAGCAGAACGACGATCATACATCCCAGCCGTCCCACGATGGCTCACATAGTTGCGAGCTGTGGATGTTCGAACACATAGTTGATGCCAGGACACAGCTAGTATCGATATGGACTGAGATGAACGCGCCTCCTCCGGCTACGATTGAACGGTACATAGTGTTATCCGCCTCCGAAGCACTTCACGACTCGGAGTGCCCTATCTGCCAGGAGGACTACGACGATGATCAGCATGTAGCTATCAAGCTTCTAGAGACAAACTGCAGTCACGTTTTCGGCCGAGACTGCTTACAATACTGGGTGAATAGCGGTATGCAAAAGGCTCATTACTGTCCTACATGTCGACAATGCATACGTGGCGCGCTTAGTGGACTACCTCCATCGCAGCCAGGTGCCGAAAACGAAGAAGAACATGTATTTGAGTTCATCTACGACGAAGAAGAAGAAGAACTTGAAGCAGAACTTGAAGCAAGACTTGAAGCAGAATTTGAAGAAGAACATGAAGAAGAACTCGAAGAAGAACAAAAAGAAGAAAATGAAGAAGAAGATGAAGATGAAGATGAAGATGAAGATGAAGATGAAGATGAAGATGAAGATGAAGATGAAGATGAAGATGAAGATGAAGAAGAGGAAGAGGAAGAAGCTGAACAAGTCCTCAGTCCGCAACAGCGTGAACAACGCGATAAGCACTGGGCCAACTTAATCGAAGTCAGCAACATTCTACAAGGAATCGAAACAATCGTTGTTCCCCCGGTTGCGGCGGGGGGCCATTCAAGCCTGGCTCTTCAAGTCGTACGCCCGGACCCGACTATCCAGAATGAAGACCGCGCCCTCAGGCAAACACTGACTCGTCTCTGGAATCAAAGCCATTATCTCAACGAGCTCCTGTGTCACAATTTCAAACGCAAGCAGGAGGAGAGGCAAAGGGAAATACTGCGCGCTGAAAGGGAGAGGAACTTACTGCACGCTGAGATGATGCTGTATATCGTTAATTTCCGGAGGATGTAGAAGGACAAACGGTTATGCAAGAATTGATGGAATCGCAAGCTAATTACGATCGTGGAATCTGTCTTCTCCCAGTATACGGGGTCGACATTGCACATCATGCGAATGGAGAAATTCATTGACTAAGATTAAGAGTTGCTCTCTTCCCGTATTATCAAGGTGCCACCATCTGTTTGTCGAACGATCCCATTGTGAAAGCGCTCCTTGCTATACTTTTTGGTAAACACCGATGACATAAAATAGCGAATCCATTGTAACGAAAACTGTGGTGACCGCTAAGTATCCGCACTCTGTTCCCATCCAGCCAATCTTTAGAATCTCCGTGACACCAGAACACCTTATTCGTCGTCTGCGCTTCCCTTGAACAGTGGTCATCCCACATCATCAACAAAATCCAATCGCACCGAAGCTCCATGAAGCAAGCAGGTCTCACTTCATGAGCCCATAAGTACAGACTGCACAACCTCATCCTCTCAATTCCGTCATTACCCCTCGCTCTCAAACACCCTCATTCCTTCCACGAAATAGCTGTCTACCTCTTTCACAAAACGCACTAAAATCCTGCTCCCGCCGCTCCAACGCTTGACGCATCCTTCTCAACTCCCCTTCCCGTTGCGTCAGGTGGGCTTCGCGAGCATCCAGATAGGCTGAACGTCGTTGGAACTCGAGTGACTGGAAAGCATGTGGTGGCGCTGCTCTGTTCTGTGCATCTTGGCGTGTGGAGTTTGTGGAGTTTGAATCGTCCGGGGGATAGTTGAATTGTGCTCTGTGTGGAGGTGCTGGGAATGGGGTGCGTTGCTGGCCGAACTGGAAGGGTTGAGGGGTTGGATGAGCGGGATGAGAGGCTATGTGAGGCCCTGAAGTTGTAGGTGGTGGCTCTGTTCGTCCGGCTGCCGCTTGTCCTGCGGCGAGTGCAGCGTGGAACTCACGATGTGTAAACACGGGCTCAGTACGCCAGTTTCCGCGGTATGAAGTGTCACCGGATGTAGTACGTGACTGAGTCGTAGGCGGACGGGGCTGACTGGTACGCGCGTAAGGCCGGGGTGTACGTACAGGCTGTAGTATTGGATTCGTATCTCTCGTGGCAGAATCTGACATGGTTTCGCCCGCAGGGCCTTCGGGCACGCCCGCAAAGAGGGAAGGTGCGGAGTTGCCAGCTCTAAGAACCTCTGTAGCCTCTTCTGTCAAACGCCGACTGCGCGCCGAAAGGCTTTCATATTCGGCTCTGAACCATACGGCGCGACACAGCGGACAGAGATTGGTGTTGTCTTGGGTCTTGCGACGGGCGAAGATCTTCTCGAGGCAGGCTTGACAGAATTCGTGGTTGCACTGGGCGGGTGGCTGGACGACGCGCATTGCTTTGTGGCTACTTCGATCGTATTCTTCTGTGCATATCGGACAGTGGGCTTCTTCTCGTGGGTTGCGCTCACTACATGGCTTCAAGCAACGGCGTATGAATTGGGCACAGGCCAATGGCGCTGGTTCCATGTTGATTGATCGTGGCGGAGTTGGTGGAGTACTTCTAAGCGTTGGAGTGTTGAACCGACACCTCGGTGGTGTGAGAGGTTGTAGTCAGCCTTGGGAAGGTTGGGAGGGTATAGAAGTGGATCCGACGCAAACTTGCGCAACCCGGAGTGAAGAGCGTGGAATCCCCACGGACCAGTAGAGACATGGTGGGAAGAGAAGTGACGTAGTCTACGCGTGTTGAACCTGACTTAAGAAGATCGTAGAATAAATAGATCACATTGAGCTATCGAACCCGCTGATTACGAAGGGAAGCCTGGCTACGTCTAGCGCGCCATGCAGTGACAATATGAAGATAACATGACAGCGCTGTCAACCCAACTGACTTCCATCCAGTTATACGTACAAGACGTCAATTCCTCGGCCTTCGCCTACTGTTTCGACAAGATCAACATTTGGAAGATTGAGAACCTGTATAGCGATTAGCTTGTGTCGTCTTAGTCCCGCGCGATATACTCACAGTACGCTGGTGATGAAAAGATACCCTTTGTCGACATATGTGAAAAAGACCAAGCAGCCCATTATCGATAGGTTCATCGATGCCATGACAGTACCCTTGACTAGGGCGTCTTCGTGCTCAGACATCATGTACTTCATGACAGCAGGTACTATACCAGCGATTACAGCTGTGAAGTAGTAGGTGTACCTCTTCAAAGCAGCATCATAGAGTTTTGGCTTGCCGCTAACTTTGTCGGTTTGGAGGAATCTTCCGAAGATATTGATAAGTGTAAGCGATCGCTCGCAGACCCACAGAGTAAACAAGTCGGGGTATTGGCGGGACTTGAGCGAGACCAGGTCTGTGGCTGCGGCTTGATGGCCGGAAATGCTTTCAGGATGGCCGTAAAGAGGGTTACAGTTATCTATCGGGTGATTGCGCACAGCGCGAGACACGTTGTAGGACTGAATTTGCTCGATATCGAAATGATCGGGGGGTGAAATCTTGTTCAGTTTACGCTGTCGCAGAAGTGCTTCTTCTAGAGGGGTGTTAGCGTTCGTCAAGGCCCCAGAGGATCACTGATCGAGTATACCATATTTCTCCAATTTCTGACGAATCTCCATAATGATATGATACTGCTTGGGCTTCACTCCATTGTTGCTCTGATTGCTCGCCATGGCCCAATCTGTGGCATATTTAGCGGTGGTCCTGGCATTTTGCTCATCTTCCATATCAGAACGAAGGTCCCACTCAAGGTAGTCAAGTTCGGCTTGCATGTAGAGGAGATTCTGTACACCGAGAGTCCGGAAGGTGCGGAAGAGGGCTCGCTCCGGTCCGCGTGTCATGAACTCAGCTAACCGTGGGAAGCCAGCTGGGAGGCTGACAACGTAGTTGCATGGTTCTTCGGGGTCATCAGAGTCGTCGGAATCTAGGGCTTTCTCGACGTTTTCAGCTTCCTTAGAGGGATTCTCTTAGATTATCTTGTAGTTTGACGTGTGTCGCGCAGGATTGCCATGTAGCTGGCCAGCAGGCACCGTGACAGCCGAATGCGCTTGCCGAAGCACAGATTTATCTATGTCTACACTTGCGAGGCTCACATGAGGCTGTGGAGAATGAGCCGAGGTGTGAAAAAGCGGAGTGTACTCCGGGTGTGAAGGGTCCCAGACCGGGACCTCGTCCACAGAACGTTCCGAATCACGTCCATCGGATGTAGCTGGTCGGATAGGTCCAAGTGTGGTGTTGTCGACATGGTCGAGATCTGGCGTTGGAGATGTAAACATGGTAACTATTTGTTAGTAATGAATACGATCAATGATTCTCTTGTAAATAGTGGAACTTACGCTGGAAAGAAACACAGCCTGCCGGAGCTGTACTTATATGCACGAAGTACGTCGAAAACGCAGCAGTATGACACCACAATTGAAGCAGATGAGCATGCAGATGACCCCAATTAACAAGAGTGATGGTGTCGGCGTATATTCCATGGTACCCGCAAGAGCCCTGTGAATGTACGCCACACAGGTCCGCCCAGCTCTTGTCACGGGTAGGGCTCTGACAAATCGATGGCAGTCACTTGTGAAGATACCTTACTTCACGAAATCTTGTGCCGTCGAGGATTCCCGTCTTGTAACGCGTACATGCGCCGTTCGGTCCGTCCTGTGGACACATCCGGCTCCACTGTTATTGTTGGCGGTGCGATCAGTCGTGGCCTTCTGAGTCTGAACGAGAAATTCTGGAGGCCAGGAAACTGCTTCAAGGATAGGTAAACAGACCAGTGTTGCAAACCCAAATGCTGCTGGTGAAGTATGCAGCTTCGGTGTTGGCTACTTCCACCAGGCCGTGCTATCATTATTTGTTTGCGGCCTTTCCAAGTCAACGAATATTCAAAGTCCTGCATGATTGATTCGCCATTGCCGTTGCGCATTGGAAAATTTGGAAAACGGCAGGTGAAGCTCGATGATGATTGAGGAAGAATGCGACATCTGACCACTGGTGTCGGCATGCTAATATAGGTTCTTTGCTGAATCGCGTGGGTGATGAGAGCTAAAGTATTATCGTACACGTTCGCGACTGTTCAAAGGTGGAAGCAGAGTCTGAGGTGGTGAAGCATGGATAGAAGAGATTGATGACATCATCCGCAGAATGGGCAAGAGCTGCCCGAACCCAGCCACGTGCCAGCCTTCTCACATTGCCCTGAACATCAAAGCTCGTCGCATATCCCAACGAAACGCATTATGAATCCTGAAGTCACTGGAAATCCGATGCAACGGCCAGCGGAAGCAATTGATGACTTCACGTGCGGGTTTGACCACTAGCTAGATCGCATGGTGGCATCACCTCGATACCTAATGCGTTTGTCGTATTCCCATCGACAATACATCGAAGCTGTTCAACACCTGAAGAGACACCAGTTTAATGTTGTAGAAGCCACTTCCAGGCCACATGCACCTGCACTGAAGTCCACTGCACTAATAACGATCTGCCTACCTACTACCTTGACATATTTACGCCCCCACGTCAGCGCTCTCCACATCACCAAATGCTCAAATCTGCCGGGCACGGACTTCGCAAAAGGTCCACCGTAAGACGAATGGAATTCGCAATCACAGGAGTCAAATGTGTCCTGGTAGGTGTCAGCCTACGCGAAGTCCGACGTCGTTCAGCATACGCAGCCTTGGCGACTACATCGATTCGAACGTGATCACATGGCATACGTAGACTACGGAACATGGCTGGAGTCGTGGAAAGAGTTTCTACCTGACCAAGTGGATTGCGAATACACGTGTTGTTTCCTACCATGAACGGAGCTTACTAGGTACGCGTACAGCGCCCTGCCTAGAGCAGCGGAAGGCGTCTGAGAGGCGCAAACTCAGTGTACTCCGTGGCTTACTTCATTCAGAACAATTCTACGGGTTTACGCGTCACAACCATGTCCTCTGTCGATCAAGCCTCAGGTCGACGCGTTCGCCAGCTCCAGAGAACTATATATCCCCATCCTCCTCATCTTGTCCCATCATCTCATCCACCACCACACTATCCATCACTTCAACCCCCATTATCCCCACCATGAAATACCTATTCCTCCTCCCCCTCCTCCCCACCTCTCTCGCCCTTGCCACCCCCCTCAAACGCCTAACCCCCGATCTCCACCCCCGCGCCGCACACTGGGGAACAAAGTCCTGGTCCGGTACTCATACCATCACCGTAACAACAACCCTAACCGTCACCGTCACCGCCTTCCCCACCGCCAACGGCACGTTCCCCAACATCACTACCACCGATGTGAGCGCGACGACCACCTCGAGCGATGATTTTGCGCCGATCACATTGATCACGCTGCCTACCGAGGCGGCTGCGACTACGGGGTCGAACGATGGTCTGGCGCCCTTTACGTTGATTACGCTTCCTTCGGCTACAGATGGAGGGGATGCGGCTGCAGCGCCTACGCCGAATGATCTTGAGCCGATTACTCTGATTGATATTAGTGCTGTTACGCCTATTTAGATGGATTTGGGACGAAGTGGTAAGGTGAAAGAGGAGGCAGTAGGGTTATGTGGTAGATTGGCATGGTTGCGGGAACTGGAGACAGAGAACTGCTGAGTTGTTCTCAAGGAGGGGTTCGTTTTGGTGTACATATCGTCTTGCTATAGTTCTTGCAACTCCACACTCTTTTGATGTATCGATTCAGTCGCTCGTTTGGAAGTGGAAACTCATGTGCATGATTTGTGTTAGTGGGTTAGACTCAGGTCTGGGGTGTTTAAGCATCAAGTAACAGTGGAACGGTAGCTGGAGTGAGGGGCATAAACAAACTTTCTGGTTTCTCATACCGTATCAAGTATCGGCCTGAAGCGTACCTAGAAGAAGACTGAGGCCAGAAGGTCATGCCGTCGCAGATCCACAACACACGTTTTGAAGGTCGTCAATGACAACTCTCAAACAGTTCCGTCGCGCTCAACCGCATGCTACTGCTAACCTTACTTCCTCTCCTCACATGCTTCGACGCAAATGCCCTGTCACACGTTAGCATTTCCTTCACATAAACATCAACACTGAACCACTTACACATCCCCAACAATCTTTCTCAAAACTAGACTATCCACCCATTCACCCTTGATCTGCGTCTTCTCCTTCGTCAGGCTATGTCTTTCAAACCCCAGCCTCTCCGCCAACTTCCAACTCCCCTCGTTCCTAGGATCGCACTCAATCTCCATCTCCAACTTCCCTTGGTTCTGCAGTCTTTCTTTCAAGGCGTCGATGAAAGCTGTCATGGCTTCTGTAGCGTAACCCTGGCCTTGCATTGAGGGCAAGAAGGAGAACCAGAGTTTGGCGTGGGTGACGGGTTTGATGGTAGATTCGCCTGGGAGAGAGTCGGAGTTGGCCTGAGAAGTTTTGGCGCCGACGCGGCCGATGAATTGTTCGTTGAGCGTCTCGACAGCGAGTTCGTACTTCGTTCGCGGCACGTCGTTGTGGTTGCGGATGTTTTCCAAGACGAGCTCACGAGCTTGTTGGCGTGTTCGAGGGGGCCACTCTTGGTAACGTGCATTTTGCTCGTTTCCTTCGAGAAGAAAGTAGCCTTCCTCGTCCTTCATTACGAACTCGCGAAGGAGCAGACGGGGTGTCTTGATGGCACCGAAGCGCTCGCCTTTAACGTTTGCGCGAGCGATGGCTGCGAGTTCCTCTTTGGTGAAGGCACTGGAGGCTTTGAGGATCTTCTGAATAACATTCCCCTTGGCGACCATGTAGTCGACGATGTTGTTTGCTTTTGCCGCGAGTTCAAGCTTCACACGCGCGTACTCATCCCTCAACTCGTTGTCAGAACGTAGCGTATCTCGCAGGCTGAGGTGATTGCGCGTTTGTGCAACGCCGTCAACACAAAGGTAAACGTTGTGTCGATTGGACTGGTTAGGGTCTTTGAAGGCATGGCGATCCACGATCCCCAGCTCTCCAAGGTAATCGAATTTTCCTTTCTCGATGAGAGCGTCGATAGCAGGCTGAACATTATCGCGAGTGACAATGATGTCAACATCGATGATAGGTTTGGCGACAAGTCCCGGTACTGATGTACTACCCACGTGCTCGATCGAGAGGTAGTCGATGTCCTGTAGGTGATGTTCCAACTCCGACTTGATAGTTTCGAATTGCTGCGGCCATTCCTTGTTGTATTGCTCGATGATGACAGACATTCTTGACGATAGAAGAGAGGCGTATAGTAAAGCACTAATCAAGTCGGCGGCGCCTGGTCGAGGTTGAACAGGTGAATGTGTCGGCTAAACCTCCCAAGCTTGTGAAACGATCTCGCTTCTCACCCGGGCGCGCCCGAGGGGTGCAGGAGCAAGAATGTCGGTGTAACAAAAAGCATGAAAAGAGCACAGAGACAAGCAAGATAGCGGAAACCCGAGATTGAGGTGGTACATAGAGCCAAGATGCCGCTTGCGCACAAAGGGCGAATGCAACGCGGAGATACGGGCAAGACTCCGACCCGCTTGATTTGATTGCGCTCCAGCCTCCAGACTTGTTGAACTAATCATACTCTTCAATCTTGATCACAGGTATGTCTGCGTATGGCGGAGGCGCATCTCGGCCCAACAGAGCAGTCTCGGCCTCAGAGTCTGTGCCAGGCTTTTCCTGCTGTCTCTGCAGAAACAGGCGACGTGCCATGACGAGGCTAGCCGCAAGCAGTGCAAAGAGCGGGAGAAGTAGGGCATCCTTTCCAACCTGTATTCTGCCAACAAAAGCGTTCCAGGCCCTCGACAACGTGCCAAATCTACCGTACTCGTCCCATTCACGTGGGTCAAATGTTGTTTGCATCATGGCCAGCTTGCCACACTTCATCCTCGGCGGTGGCATCTTGCCCTTTGCGGAGACGACTAGTACTTCTTCGATGGAGAGTATATATCCACCTTCCATATTCTCATCGTGTTCCTTGCGCACCAAGATCTGAACAATCTTCTGACCCAACTTGATTGGTTCAGCGGTCTCGCCCCAGGGCAAGCCCGTCACATTGAACTGAAGCCACCAAAGTTCAGGCTCGTCAGCGCGGAAGATGGTATGCTCGTATTGTAGGGGAAACATTATCCTGCTATGCTTGTTCGGATTTGAGGCGTCTTCGGAATCCGCATCCGTCTCTTCCTGCTCCACCTCGGTGGTGACCTGCTTCGCGTTTATGTTGAGAGGCATGGGATCGAGAGGGAATATGCGCTGATCGTTGAGAAGTAACGCATCGTTGAATTCGGTCAAGACGAACTTAAGCAACTGGTCACGGTCAGTCGTATTCATTCTGAGCGCTGTAGAGTGCACTTACTAGAGAGTTCTTTGGTGCCGGATGCAGCCATTCTGCCTTATGAGGACTCGTCCAAGCACGCAGCGGGCATCCCACGCATTCCAGCTTCACCGTGTATTCTCGGCCAGCCTCCTCTTCAATGACTTCGTTATGGTCCGATGTTGTCGGACGAGTGATAGCTGCGGTAGCCAGCGCCGAGAGACCGAGAAGAGCAAAAGGACGCATTGTGACGTTAACCGCAGACAAAAAGGAAGGGGAAGTCACAACACAGCTCAAAGAAGTGATGTTCGCACAAGGGAGGCGGGAGATGGCCGACGATGCCGGGCGACGCGTACAAGCCTCGGACTACGGCAACGCTAGCGCAGGGATCATCAGCGTGGGTAATGCTCATTCTAGAAGCCTGAAGCTTGTCTCCTCCTATACTCCTCTTTGCGTACAGACCGCGCATGCCGTATTTGTTGGTTTTCACGACGGTGCTGTTCGTGTTCACAAACATGGCGGCTCGTCATCCAGCCATACGGTCGTCGACTCATCTCTTACAAAAGCACTCCGCGTGAGCATCGATGTTCTGGGGGCGCAATGTAGAGAAAGGTGGGTCCGGTATTGTCTTCACCCTCACATCAAGGCATGGCAAGGTTGGGAAGTTGTAGTCAGAATGGTCATGGAGCAGGTTCGCATTGAAGGACTGGGCGCCAATTAAGTACAACCCGATCGCCAGCACAGGGCTTTCCCCCATACATTGTATGGATATCTTTCCCTCATAAGCGCGTAGCATTGATCATATCCCTCAACACGTCCCCTTCCAGACATAGCATGGTTATATCTTTGAGTCGTTGTCAAATGGTCTCATATTTCCTTTTCCTTTTTACTCCTACGCCGCCGGCACATGCCAGGTTGTCAAAGACAGGGTATGTAAGAGAAGCATCGACGAAACGGGTCAAGACATCTACCACTGGGTAGTGGTAGCAGGGGCAGCGGTCTCGGCACCCCAGCCCTCGTTGCCAGTCTGAGCATCGCCAGACGCAGCCCAGTCGGCAGTGTCGGCGTCCCAGCTGGTGCCAGGGGCAGCAGCAGCCTGGGCGGTGAAAGCACCGGCAGATGCGCCGGAGACCTCCCACTCGCTAGTGAAGCCGTCAGCGACGGGACCAGCACCGACCTCATCGGCACCGGGGATTTTGGCCTCCTCGACGCCAGCGCTGTCCTTGTTCTCCTCAGCCTCGGGGTCGCGGTAGAAGTACAAGTCAGTCATGACGTCCCACTCAGTCTCGCGGTTGGCGAGGGTGCCGCGGAGGCGGAGGACCTCACGGGCAAGCATCCACCAGATCAGACCGATGGCGTGGCGTCCCTTGTTGTTGGTGGGGATAGCGACATCGACGTACTCGGTGGGGGAGTCTCCGTCACAGAGGGCCTGTTCTGGGTTAGTTTCCAAATCCTCTTCCTAATTCTACACGAGTTGCTTACAATGACGGGGATGTTGACGTAGGAAGCCTCCTTGATGGCCTGCGCGTCGGTGCGGGGGTCGGTGACGATGACCAGGCGGGGCTCACGGAACGAACGGGTGATGTAGTTGGTGAAGTTACCGGGGGTGAAGCGACCGGCGATGGCAGTGGCACCAGTGTGGGAAGCGAACTTCAGGACGGCACGCTGTCCGTAGGGACGGGCAGAGATGACACAGACTATTCACGCAGTGTCAGCCAAAGTCGTGTGTGCCAATATCCGCATCTTTCAAGATTATGCATCTGGAATTGCGCGAGTGAACGTACTGTCGGCCGGGTTGTCAATGGCGACAATGATGCGCGCGGCGAGGACAATCTTCTCCCAGGTCTTGCCAATGTTCAAGACGTTGACACCGTCGGGCCTGGTCTTCCACAGGTAAGGCTCCATGTGCACCTGGAGGTTCTTGGAACCGAGGTGGCACTGAGCAGCGAGGAGCATCTCAATGTCCTGCTGGGTGGGGTTGAAGATGGCGGGGAGGTTGGAAGGAGCCATTTTGACGGTTTGGCGCTGTACGAGCTGGTCGGTATACAGGAGTTGTCGGGTTGCGTGCGAGAGACTGAGTCGACGAACTTTCGTGTTCGCGATATTCGCATCGTGGTGGGAGCGCCTAGCCGCAAGCGGACTGGCGCAATGACGCGCCGGCATCGGCAAAACCAGTCGCCGGCCATGGATCCGCAAAAGATTCGAGGGTGGTGGCAGCGAGAGTGTAGCCAGCAATGCCGCCGCGAATACCAGCCCTGTCGTGCCTGCGGGCGCCGACGTGTACGTATAGGCTGTCATCGATCCCCCGCTTGTACTGACATCTTCCCAGCTTTCTCGACCACCAATCAACTCACCCTCCCAATCCGAACTTTCGCCTCCACATCGCACCTATACGCCGAGTCAGCCGAACGCCAGAAGAAGCGCCTCGCGAACGATCCCTATATCGTCGCTCAGCGGAATAGGAAGAAGGCTGCCAATCTCACGCGCCGCGCTGAGCTCGAACAAGGCCGTGTAGCGAGCCTCGGAGACCCAGTCCGCGGTGTTGCAACACCATTCGTAGAATCATTCGATACTGGAAAGCCAATCACGTACGAAGAGGGCAAAAAGATACCCAAAGATCGGAAACACCTCAACTATGCCTTCGAGCCAGAGACTGTTAGGCAACAATTGGACAGGAGCAAAGACTTGGCTGTTCCGCTGGGTATAATCCCGGAGGAGACCGTGGCCCCCACAACGAAATGGTCCAACTCCATATTCGGCAAGACACAGGCAATTCAATTGTCGGCCGAAGAGATCGAGGAGCAAAGCAAGAAGGATCATGCTCGAGCTGCTGAGGCCATCGCCCGCATCACCGCTCTCGAAAACGGATCGAGCAAAGACCGCATGCGCGTGAACATCACACGCTGTGTAGAGACATTCGGGCGCCACAACACCGATAGGATATTCCCACCCAAGGCGCCATCATTGAGCCGGTCAGGTGCCGAAGAAGTCCGCACCGTACGCCCAGAAACAAATGTTGCGGCGACTGCAAAGCGCGTCGGGCCTGATACTGGGTCGTCCGAAGTCCAGATCGCCATCTTGACAGCAAAGATCAAGACCCTGGCCGACTTCTTACAAGCCCGAGGAAAGGGCGACAAGCACAACAAGCGGAACCTGCAATTGCTGGTGCACAGGAGGCAGAAGTTGCTACAGTACCTAAGACGGAAAGAGAGAGGTGGTCCGAGGTGGCAGCATTGTATCGAGACTCTTGGGCTGACCGAAGGTACCTGGAGAGGCGAGATATCGTTGTGAGAGAAACCGAATAGATTCTGTTCTTCACCCTTCCCTCTAACACCTTCCACTTTTGCATCGATGAATTGTAGTAGATACATGCATCCACTTGTCATGAGTAATCACGCACATGTATCATATGAGTTGAAAGCACCCTTGTAAGTATACTGCTAAACGAGGTGGATCAATCCATGCCCATGCTTTCCGTATCGCCTTCCCACCTTCCCATCTCAGCAAAGTCTAATCTCGCATTACCTCCCCCAGCTCTTGCGACTATGAAGGGCGCAATCACGTGAAGGGCGTAAAGTTAGGCGTCCGCCAACTCTATACCACGTTCTCGCCATGAGGCAGCAACATTACCAAAGAATACATCCCCGCAAGCATCACGCTCTCAAAAACCACGTTCTCCCCTGTGATCCCAAGAAACTTGCAACGCCCCAAACAACTACGATAATGTCAACCCCACCCCCAAACCCAACACCCCCACCAAACCCCTGGTCCAGCCAACGCCTGCACTACCGCGCAATCCGCCCCATCGACATAAATGTCTTCCACGCCTTCAGCGCCGACCACACCGGCTACGCAAACAGCAACTTCGACAACATCAAGCTGCCCGGCCCCTCCGACACTGAAAAATTCATGAAAGGCGTCCAAAACGACTGCCTTTTGGGCGCCATCATCTGGCTACCCCACGCCCCAGAAACGACTGCTCTAAGTGACGAAGACCGTGAAAAGGCGTTCGCGACAAGGAGGAAGCAGGGGGAGATCGTGGATGAAGAGTACGGCACAGCCGTCGGCGAAATCCATTTAGATTTGTTGCCGCCCCATAAACAACATCATCGCAATACGGAGATTGGGCTTGATATCCTACCGTTATATCAGGGAAAGGGGTATGGGTCTGAGGCTATTAGGTGGGCGCTTGATTATGCATTTAGGCGGGCGGGGTTGCATAGGGTTAAGGTTAGGGGGTTTAGCTGGAATGAGGGTGCGCTGAGGTTGTATGAGAGGTTGGGATTTGTGGTTGAGGGGAGGGAGAGGGAGAGTGTGTGGTTTGAGGGGGGTTGGTGGGATGTTGTTACGTTGGGGATGCTGGAGGGGGAGTGGCGGAAACTCGTGAGTTAGTTGAAAGAATTCAGATATTATTCTGCTGCAATGACACGTGTTTTGCGCAGATAGTAATGACGGAATTGAGCAACAGGAAACTACGTTTCTCACGTGCTCTGCTCGCGAATCAAGGCATACCGTACTGCAACCCCCCTCTACTAACATCCCTGATCACCATCGTCGCATTATTCGCCCGTTTCTCCGCCGCATCATAAAGCGCCTGAATATCTTCCTTCCACATAGTCTCATTCATCCTTATAACCTTCCTGTCATAAGTCATCATCCCATTAACCTCCCCCTCCACATCCGTAGTCTGCGTCCAGACCCCACCCGAGCAAGCAAAAAGATCAATCTGCTCGCGCAATTGGTTGAGCAAATCGTGGCAGCGATAGTTCCACCAGTTCGTTCCGTTGGTAAGTTCGTATGCGGTCTGCTTCTCTAGGTCCTTAAACCAGGCGTGCGCGTAGTTGTCTTCGGGGAGCTGGGTGCCGATGCCGCCGAATTCGCCTTGCAGACCGATGCGCGAACTGTCGTAGGCGGAGTCGTAGTTGTTGCCTTGGCGGGACCAGAATGGCGTTCCGCATTGGGGTGTGGAGTAGTGGTGGTTGTCGTCGAAGTCGCCGGCTGTATGGTCCGTCCAGCCACTGACGGAATTGACTAGGCGAGTGGGGTCGATCTTTCTTACCACTTCTGTCAATGGGAACTCGGGCCATGGAGGCGAGGTATCCTGGCCCCATTCCTCGTTGTAGATCGTCCAAGCAAAAATGCTAGGGTATGACTTGAGCTGCTCTACCATCAAAGCCAACTGACGATCAAACTCATCTTGCGCATCTTGGCCTGCTAATCGCTTACTACCACAGCCGTCCGGTAGGTCTGGACGCAGAGAAGGCATGTCTTGAATTACCAACATCCCCATCTCATCGCAAGCTCTGTAGAACAAGGCCGGTTCCACTTTGATATGCTTGCGCACCATATTGTAGCCGACATTCTTGAGAACCTTGAGATCATACACCATGGCTTCGACACTTGGGGGTGTGTAGATACCGTCTGGCCAGTACCCCTGATCGAGCGTACCGAAGGGGAAAACGAACTTTCCGTTCAGAAGTGGGCGCTGTATGCCGTTGATGGTGCCACGGGAGACAGTTCTGAATCCGGTGTAGCTCTGAATGGTATCGCTGGCCATTTTGATGGTTACATTGTAGAGGGTGGGGCTGTCTGGAGTCCACAGTTCTGGTGATGGGACGTTGAAGGTAAATGCGGACCCACTAGTACCTTTGGCTGTCGCCTTAGCGTCAGTTGAGCCCAGTTCATGAACCGTGATCTCATATGGGATGTTTGTCAAGTTGGTACTGCTGTGAACAGTCACAGTCACTTGGATATGTTAGCGATGACCATCAAGGAGCACGGTCCATATTTACCAGTCCCATCCATATCCGCTGTTAGGTCCAGTTTCGAAACATGTTCTTTCGGTGTTGATTCAAGCCATACTGTCTGCCAGATACCACTGCATGGTGTGTACCAAATCATCCCTTCTCGGTTCAACGTTTGCTTTCCGATCGGTATCTGAACCATATCCACATCTGTCGGATCGAAGGTATATACCAGCCTGTTATTACATTAGCCTGGTCTCTAATCCTCAGTTTACGATACATACAGCTCATTCGTTCCATTTGCGCTCAGGTATGGCGTCACGTCTACACTGAACTCAAAGTATCCACCTCTGTGAAAACCAGCATTCTTGCCATTCACAAAGATAGTGGCCTCGTAGTCAACAGCGCCAAAGTTCAAGATGACGTTGTTGCCGCTAGGCCATGATGACGGTACTGCGAAGGATGTCTGGTACCAACTCCACATGCGACCCTTTCCTGTCACACCTTGGCTGCATCAGTGACCTGTCTAGCCGAAAGTCTGGGTCGACTTACCTGAGAGAGCACTCTCAAGGCAGAAGGGAACTAGGACCGGGTTTTCCAGTGTCTGCCCGAACGGCGGTGATGCGTCCGAACCATTCGTAGTATTCCTGTATCCCCAGACGCCATTGAGATTCTTCCAGTCTGTTCGCTGGAGGCGTGGTCGTGGATACTCTGGCCAGGGATTGGTCCCCACTGTGTCCGTCCATTCCGTCTTGAGTGGAGTATATCCAACCTTGTAGTCTGTCCGATTACTTTGACGCGGATGAATTGTATTGACAGTAGCAGCAACAGCTGACCACGTCAACAACCCTGTTACAAGCCCAAAGCTGAGCTGCATGATGAAGATATCGGTTGGCAGGTGCGCATCCAAGATGCGGTAAGGAGCCGTTGAGATGCGGAGGACGACGGCGGCTTTTAAGCCTTGGGTGGGTTCATGACAACATGGTTCAATGGTACCTGTGACGGCTTTGCAGCTGCATATTAGTATTCTTAGTTCTGGGAATAGCGGCGGGATGATCCTGGTGGCTGCACACCGTCGACGATCATGCTACTACTGAGGTAGCTCGGCGCATGTTTGGACAGGCCAGAGTAGTCGCGTGGCCGGGCCGGCTGATCTGATGCATGGCGTTCAGTATGCGTTTGCAGAGCATTCGGTTACTGCATAAGCCTGGCGCCTTGGAAACGACGAGGCTGACGGTGAACGTCGAAGAGGTGGTTGTACGTCAACGCCGTGGATGCATGCCTGACGCTTACCTACCTGCAGAGTGTCAGATGCATTGACGTAGTAGAACGAGTCTGATCAGCTGCGATCAGCGTCTTGGCTACAGGGCCGGTAGATTCCCCGCACCATACGGATCAAATGGGGCCGGATTCTAGGTTCGGACCAGCGAACAATGACCCGAAGGTGGCATGTAGACATTGCAGACAACAACACGTTATGAGATTTGACGGCAAGAACGTTGGGATGAATTTTGAGGCAGTTAGGAAGAGACACCGTCAATACTAGGCCTGCGCAATGGACATGAAATTGTTGGCGATAGTCTGACAGAGTCGTGCACATGTAGGATGCGGGGATACCCCGCCTCAGCAAATGCGGTTGATGAGATAAGCGTCAGGTCGCGACGATCTCGCATGCGACTCAGAAGTACACTCAGGAACAAAAAGTCTGTAGATGTTCGTTAAGAGTTATTAGGTATATTCGTGCTACGTTGTAGGGAACTTGAACAGTAAACTCGCTGAGCTGTCAGGATCGTACAGGGCACGCGTATGTCTGCGTAGGTGTGGGGCACTTCACATGTGCTGTTGCTCACCACATGCCTGTAACATCGGCATTCTCTAGCCGTATGCATGCCCGCCATTCGCATGATAGCAGCGCTCAGGTCGTTCACCACCTTCCTATTTCTCTTGCGATGTCACCCCGTGCCGTAAGGCTGGTACCGCCACGTGCCACCCAAGACTGCATTGCATACAACCCCGCAATCTATAGCAACCTCGCGGATGTCTGAGTATGCTCAGATGATGAAGATGCGAGAAGAGGTTGAACGCGATGCCTGCTCGAGTCTAACATTATGGGTCTCGATCCTGCAGAATCTCATGGCATCAGCATGAATGGCTTGCTCCAAGACTTCCCCTTCGTGGCTGATGACGTCGGTCTCGAAGGGCTTGAAGAGCTTGGGAACATTGGCGACATTGGGGACCGTGGTGATGTTGGTGAAGTGGGAGAGCTTGGTGGTATTGGGGCTTCCCTCGGTGATTCATATGCTCTGCCAATTTGGGCTTGTATGGCTATGGGTTCTAGCGTCTTTATCGAAGCGCTATCATCTTCTTCGATACCGAACAAGGTCGTTCGGTCGGAATACGAGTTCAGTATCGAGCTTACACGCGTCGTGCTTGAGCGTATGGTATCCGCGTCAGAGGTGCTCGAACTCGTTGAAGTCATTGTTGACATTGTCATTAGCGACGCCCTATCCGAGCCGGAATACGACGATGCCGCTACTCCAATATCATGTTTGTGAGCGCCGCAATGGATGTCGGGTATGGAGGTATTTTCAAAGAGAATATCGAAGATCTTGTCGCGAACATCGCGCGCCGCAGGACGAAGCATAGGTGCTTTGCTCAACATACTTCGGATGACCTGTAATATGGGAGGGATCGCCCGGAACGCGTCGTCGTCATGCTCAAATGAAGCCTTTTCGAGTGAGTTCATCCAAGTCTCTACTTTGTCAAGATTGACATGATACGATGAATCTGTTCGAGAGTTCTTGCCGCCAGTATTGGTCCTTTGCTTCGATGTTCGGTGCTTGACGAAGTCGTGAGGTTTCTTCTTCAGCATGAATGTGATGATCTCCAGGAAAACACAACCAAGCGAGAACACATCTGCCTTCTCAGTCTCGTGTACTCGCGACCGTTTCTTCGGTGTAGGCTTCGCCTTTGACTTCTTGAATCCAAAGTTGAAACCAGAGAAGTCTGTTGTAGGTGCTTTGGTAAGCTTCTGCCGTTGTGAGTTATTACTGCCAGATGACCCCGACGAACTCTTGCTAATCATCGAAGCATGTCGACCGTTTGGGATAGTGGGTGAAGGCGCAGGGTCATTGGGGTCGAAAGGTCCTGTGCTCATGTGTGTTTCTGGCGCACTGTATACGTAGGCGTCCATTGCGTCGGGCTTCTTGTCTTTTTGAAACGTCTCAAGGCTACCGATGTCGCTAAATGCTATCGCATTCTGCTCGTCAATGAGGATGTTTGACGGTCGAATGGCGGAGTGGCAGAATCCATTTTGATGCAGCGTTGCAATGGCGTCTGCCAGACAGTGCAGCCAATTAAGTACCAGCCATCTCCGGTCAGGCTTCAACAGCTTCTGGTACTGAGTCGGGTTGCGGTGATCAATGAAAGTGCGAAGAGTATGCTGCCCTACAAAGTTGGTGACGATGTAACCAACGCCTTTGGAGGTATACGAGGCCCAGATCGGCGCAAGATGCTCATGCTCGACCATCCTTGCGCTTTCGACATCCATCTTGAAGTCCTCTTCGAACGCATCCGGTGTTTCTGGGTCGCCCAGCGGAAATCGCCTGCGGACGTAAATCTCCTTTGGCTTCTTCGGTAGGTGCATACGCTGCCAAGCCTGTAAGCTCACTGCTACTGGCAGAGACATTACGTTCTCGACCGGTATTTCCTCGTTGGGCGCATAATCGATATGTATGCCTTCCCGCAATTCTCTTAGGAGGAATGTGAATTGTGTGTGGTAGAAGCGAGCATCGGCGTGGTTATCGCGGCGATTGGAAAGTGAAAGCTGCTCGATATCGTCCATTTCCAGAGGTAAATCATCGTCGTCCCACGATCTGTCAACGACAGCGAAGATCCTATCCGCTTCACCAATCTCGACCAATATCAGAAAAAGTCGTCTTGCTTTCTCCAGAATCCATTCGATGTAGGTGTCGTCGCTCAGATCGCCGAAGCCGACAGGTTGTGTGAGACGTTCTCTCTCTTTCGGTTGTAGCCTTGAAGTGACGAAGTCATGGTTGACCTTTTCGTTGATTCGCTCCTCGGTCCACCATATTTGCTGGAGAGCGTGCTGCGGGGTGACGAGGCTGTGCCCAGCGTATCCATAGATCAGGGCGTTCAAGGCGACCGTTTGGTCGTTGACGACGTTTGTCAATGTCCTCGCACTCATTGTGTTGATTGATGGGTTGTGGTGGAGCTCTTATGTCTGCGAGCCCCGCGTGTTAGTACGAGACACGAGTCGTGCGCTGAGTGGTGAGCTGGTGATCATCTCCAGGAAGAAGAAAATCGGATGACGGAGAGAGTGGCTGTCAGGCTTCAGTAAGTATGGAGTAAGACTATGCTGTTGTCAGGCGTCAGCGGGGCCAGAAACATCGGCTGTTGATTGTGGTACACAATTTGATCCGCCTCTCGGAACGCCTCTGGTTGTGGCAAGCGGCATGGCGACGAATACATGGCGTCGGGTCGCCGCTTAGAGACCAATCACCAGAAGAAGGGCAATAGAAGGCGCATGCTTGAGCGTCGTTGGCATAGGGCGAGGTAGGGCCTTTTGCCTGGAAAGGTCTGCGTGGCCCCGAAAGCGGCCGCCATGTGCAACGTGACCAGGGTGTTTCCAGGCGGAGGGTTGATAAGACATGGTGCAGCAAGCGAATTACAGACGCAGGGAGACGAATGCTAAACTAGCATACCAATAAGTTTTGCGGAGGGCCGTTCCTGGAGCGGGGCGCATCGCGTTTAGCAGTGGGCGGTGGCAGCTATTGTGCACGCCAACCCTCCCCAAGGGCGGCTAAAGGTGTGAATGCAGTCTGTCCCCAGGCTCTAGTTTTCCGTATAGCTTGGTGTTGCCTCTTTAGTCGTATCTTGCGATGTTTCTGGTCATTTCGCGAGATCGAAGATTGGGCAGGCTCCCCTTGGAGGCTGTCGCAATCACAGGAAAGCTGTTGGTGCTGACAGCGGCGGATCAGCACCTAGATGCGGCTCAATTTTGCATCACCCGATGCTCATGGCGCGATACCGCCCGCAGTCGCTATCATACAGTAGCACCATGCAGGCGACTGGCAGCGATTGGAGATAGGATACACCCGGTCGGGATGTCAGAACCGAGGCTACACAAGATGCCAACTCGACATAAGATGAGATGACGCCCTGGATAGATGAAGGCAGATTGCGGCGTGGCCATGGAATAATTGTACAGACGGCGACATCTCGGCTTGGTGGCATGAATGATTACTGTACTGGTGGAATGGCGTCTGATGGTGTGCGAGAAACGGCGCAATGACTCGCGACCGGACGCCTGAGGCGAGCTGTAGTTTGGGGAGCCCGGGCGCAGCGGAAGCACAACAGAATGTGGCGTTGCACAGACAGCTGTCGGTCGCCATGCTTAGATCCTTCAGACGCACTCGCATGGAGTCCAATGTCGGTGACTCTTTCTAGAAGCGGCGATTCGATCGCTGGGCAGAGGAAGGAGCTCTCTGAAGGCGGCAATCTGCGACTGCCTCTTCGCGACCAGCCCTGGAAAGCACGGCCAACCCCACGTCTCCCATTTTGACGGTTCGCCCACAATTTTTGCGACCACTGCCGATTCACACGTGCGCTGTCAGTTTGCACGTCGACTTGAGCAATGATCTTCCGACGTACAGCTGCTAGTCGTGAGACACCGAAGAGTGCCCGTCGGACGGGTTCAATCATCACCAGAAAGAGCAGTGAAGAAAAATCATCTCAAATTATTCTGGCGCACTCGTCATCAAGATCTTTCACAAATCGGTATAATGGATGCATCCACCCGGTCTAGATACCGACACACTGCAGTCTGCTCCGATCCATCTGAGGTGCTCTACTCTTCAATATCTCTAAGCCATCCTCCATTGCTCAAGCAGGATTGATGGAAAAGAATATGTTTCCCTCGCTCGGAGCCTTGGTGAGTTGGTTGCCTCCTGGATGAATCCCATTCGGCCATACAATGCTACCCCCATTATCTCCAGTAACATCTAATCGGCTACCCGCGAATGGCGCCCCGAAGACAGTGCTGAGATCGTACCACACCGTTCCGCCATCCAGGTTGTATGCCCACACCTGCTGAGGAGCACCGGAGTTTAGACCGTCCGCCTCTTTCGTCATCTTGATCGCAATGCCTCCGGATTTGTCGTCGTGGTGCATCTCCTCCCAGTAAATACCGCCTGTGGCTGTCAGTTGAAAGAAATTACAGCTCGCATGTGTCTGACCAGCTTTGATGTCATGGCGAGGACCGACTGTGCCGCCGAGAGACCAAACATAGATGGGATCTGGTGAGTTGTTCAATACGACAGCGATGCCGCCAGCCCTGACTGAGGCTATCAGGGCCAGGAGGCTGGGGATGATGAGGCGCATGATGTACGCTGTGTCCAAAGCGAGGGTGGTGAACGAGCGAATCCGATAAACGATGAGACCAAGCACGAGATGCCTCCACAGCAGTGTGACAGTACAACTCGTAGCTTTCGCTTCCCCGTTTTATACTGCCCTCAGCCATCGTCGAGGTCCCTCCAACAGCACAACGACTAACCCGCAAGTCCTCATACGAGCGTCAATCACGCGTCGACTCCATCCTGAACAGCCCACGAAGCCGTGTACGGGACGACATATTCCAATGCCAGTATGTATAGACCAATCCAGAGGTCCTCTTTCTTCCGATCGAGGTTACACGGCAGATGAACAAGCATGTATGTTGTGACACTGTACTGCCTTCGGATGATTTCAATACTCCGATATAGTGCTCGGTTGGCGGCGCATGACGATGCGTTGGTTGGCAATACATTTAATATGGCTGTTGAGATTTATCGGACGAGAATGGCTTCGGCTCGCTTGCCGATAACAGCAGACCATGTTTGCCGATGCATCCTTGCAGCAGCGCTGCTACACGAGGCTTCTGAGTTGAAAGGTCATCATGTACAATGCCGTTGCTGCTTTGCATGCGATACATTAGCCGAGGATTGTTGTAGTCCTGGCGTTCTGCTGGCCACAGACACTGCCCGAATTATCAGGCAGCAGCTTTGCAGCTTCAATACATCGTGCAGCTGGACTGTTGCAAAGTCCTTCAAGGGAAGTCCTGCTTAAAGTCTCGTGGGGTCGACCCTCACCAACACTTCAATGTTAGAATAAAGATAAGCTCAATGCTCAGACTTGGGGTCCGGTCAGGCTGGAGTAGGCGCAGTTGTAGTAAGGTCAACCCTTTGGGTACGAGGCAATCGATATGCTTGCGAGGTAGATCTTTTGTGCGGAATGATAACAGATGTATTGAATAGAAGGAGGCGATAAGCATAGCAGCAGCATCTTGCCTGGTTCAATGAAGATTCGAGTATGTTTCAGTCGAGACTGGCAGGTGCGACCTGCACCAGCCGTTCCTGCTTAGCGTCTTGGCATTGTGATCCGTCCCGTCATCGACATTCCACGCTCGACGCATTTTCAGTAGCTATGATGACGTTCATTCATTCACCCTCCCCAGTATTGGGGTATTGTCTGTTGACCATCTACTAGACGGCCTACCTTCTCCCAAAAATGACGCGTGAGGACAGCATTGATCTTTTTGCAGTTGCGGGCCGATGGGACTGCCATAACTTCGTCGATGGAACTCAAGGCACCAGCGTTTCAAGGCTGTTGATTCGCGACTCAATGCCACGGCTTCGCATGTGCCTGTTGAAAGCGCGATGCTACGTACGCAAAAGCTGCATACGAACTCCACTCCGCTACTTTGCGTTAGAATCAGCACAGCCCGACGCCCGACTCTGAGATGCACCACTCACAGCGAGGTACTTCGCGACAGGCGAGCGACCCCATGCTGAAGCTGCTTCGTGACGGCGTTTTGTCAGCCCCGAGTAGCTTCAATGCCGGATTGTGTACGCGGTTTTCTCCTCACCTTTGCACATAAGTTACTGAAGACGCCTTTTCATCTCGATACTCAATCGCATCCAAAAAGAGGTCAGACTACAACATGGCTCCCACAAAGGACGACTGCGACTGCCCAAGTCCAATCCTGTGGGAATTCCCGGCGCCAGGCAACCAGGATCTGATGCCTAGCAAGCACCCTCAGAGCTCTAGCTTCGAGATCGAGCAATACCTTGAGGCTTCCGCTCACGTCCCACCTACTTCCGGCTTTGGTACCGTCCCTGTGTACATCAACGACGTTATCGAGCCTACCTGGCCCTGGGACTTCAATGTTCCCGCTGCCAGTCACCGAAACCTGTACTGCAAGCCTTGCCAGCAGGAGAATAAAGACGATACAAACTCGAAAGAGTTTGACTGGGAGTCTTGCTGTAAGTCTGTTCCATAGCATAGCTCGAATTGCCCAACGAGATATTCGTGTGCATGACAAGACAGATCTGACCGTCACGCTAGACGAGAAACCGGGGCATGGTGGGATATGGTCTACAAGCTTCGACGTGATGGGATCAGGCATGGCTAAAGTTCCAATCAAATTCGAGTTCACGCCTGAGGCGGATACCATGGTCTGCGCCTTGGGTTTTCCTGGCATGCTGGAAGGAGGCCTCTCGCAGGCCTTCCCCGTCATCAATAAGCAGCCGCCATCAGACAGAGGACGGCAGCTATTCACAGAGGATGACCCTGAAGGTGTGCCGTGGAAGGGTGATGAGGCAGCGCCATTGCGAATGCACTACATTGTTGGCATCGTGTTAGTGGTTGCGCTTTGCATGGCGTTCTCCGCTCGGCTTTTCCACCAGAAGCGGAAGCAGAGGAAGGCGTCGCAGACTCTGATGGCTCAAGCTGAGAGCGGTGGTCTCATGGAGGGTAGCAAGACAAGGTATACCGATGATATGTAGGCTGTTAGATGCTCAACTGAGCGGGGTCGTCATGCGTCCAACACGCTGGGGGCATAGCTGTAGCCATAGTAGCGATAAACGATATATGAGGATTCAACTCTTCTCCCTATGGCATAGCTCTCTTGACATACAGGCATTGCTCGGCGTGGGTGGAGATGTCGAGAGAGGCTAAAATTAGTGGTGCAGGTGTGGGGTGGGCTAGCTGCGGGAGACGGCAAGCGGAGCGTCACAATCCAGACCGGCCGGCGTCGCGACTTCCAGTTAACGTGAACAACGCAGCTGAACTCCGCAAACAACTGTCATTCCATTCTGGCCCACTTTGTTGGTAGCGTAGCGTCCGCAATATTATCCTTCTGTTCTCTTT